CACGGGTGCGAGGGTGTCAGTGCACATACGCGCGCTGTTGTGTCACACACACGCGGGTTGTGGCACTGCACACACGCGGGTTGTGTCACCGCGCACGGTTATGTCACCACACACACGATTATGGTTGTGCCGCCTCCCCCCCGCGGTGCCATCACTGCACGCATGTGCGGTTGTGTCACCACACACAGGGTTGTCTCACTGCACTTATGTATAATTTTGTCACTACACACATGTATAATTGTGTCACTACACATACACATGGTTGTCTCACTACAGACATGCTTATGGTTGTGTCCCCCCTCATCACGTGCCTGTGCGGTTGTGTCACCACACACAGGGTTGTGTCACCACACACAGTTGTGTTGCTACACAGGATGTACAGTTGTGTCACTGCACACGAGTGCGGTTGTGTCACTAGACACACAGGGTTGTGTCACCATGCACAATTGTGTTGCTACACACGGTTGTGTCACTACACAAAGATTCATGGTTGTGTCATTGCACACAAGTGTGGTTATGTCACTAGAGACACACCCAGGGCGTTGTGTTACCACACACGTGTACATTTGTGTCACTACACACACAGGTGTGGTTGTGTTAATACACACACAGGGTTGTTTTACATATTCATACAATTGTGTCGCTACACGTGGTCGTGTCACTACACACGTCTGCTTTTGTGAGCACGCACAGACACACACAGTTGTCAGTACACACACACACGTGGTTGTCACCACATGCACAGGATTGTGTCACCACATGTGCATGCGGTTGTGTCACTCCACACAGTTATGTCACTACACACAGATGTATGGTTGTGTCATTCCACACATACTGAATTGTGCCATAGACACTCATATGGTTGTGTCACTGTACACACATGTACAATTGTGTCACTGGCCGGCTGTGTGACTGCACAGATGGTTGTCTCTACACACAAACACATGGTTGTGTCGCTACACGCACAGTTGTGCCACTGCACACATGTGTGTACAGTTGTGTCACCACACACATATTGTCATGTCGCTGCACACCTGCGTACAACCCTGTCACTGCATACACGGGAATATGGTTGTGTCCCCAAACACACCCGCGTGTGGTCGTGTCCCCCCACACAGGCGGCTGTGCCACCACCCGCGCGGGGGCTGTGTCCCAACACCCCTCGACGGGGCGGGCGGAGCGGGCAGGCAGCCCGGGCCGCGATGAGTGTGACACCGCGC